TAACGCGAAAAAAGTTGTAAAACTTTTTTTTGTTTTTTTTTTCCTCGGCCCAGCGTGAGATTACCATGGACTGCTGTGAGAGTTTCCACCCAGCTCCTGGATCAGCTGCCCCGCGCAGTCAGGGTTGTTGCTGGCGGCGTGCAGCAAGGCTTTCCGGAAGGCGTAGCGGTACCTCTTCTGGCGGATGCTCGCCCTCTCCTGTCGGCACATGTGCTTGTATTTCTCCCGGAGGTAAGAGCAAAGCCGAAGTAGACGTGCTCTCCGCGAAGAACCACCGTCGACTTCCAGCCTTAACGAGAAACCAGCGAAAGTCATCACAGTGTGATAGTGACACGATATCTAGTGATGGGCGATAAATTGGTTTTATTCATTAATTGAACTTTTGGGAAACTGCTTTTTTTTTCTCTCTCATCAATGCACTCTTTAGTTCAGAGTAATGTCAGTCCAGGGATTTTATTTTTAAGCCACATTGCCCAGCCCTACATTATGGTTAAGCGTTTAAAGATACAAACCCGTTCTCTGGTCTCCACGAATTCTGAAATGGAGTAACCCTCTCTGCATCCTCCTGTTCGTCATCGTCGTCATCTGCACTGTCTTCTGACCAGTCCAAACCTGGAACAAAGCTACTTAGACGGGCTCATCCATCTCAACAAGCTCTTACAAGTTTGTAACTACGAGCTACACCGTACTGATGTCGAGTCGAGCAGAAAGGGCTGAGCTTTTCACATTTTTTTAGCTGCAAATGCATCCTTTGCTGCACTAAAATAATTCTGATATTGAATTCTAGGCAATAAAATGATTATTTTCTTATTTTAAAAAGGAATTAGTTTGTTTACATGCATCTTTAAATATTTCTAACATTTTATAAGATGGGCCTTGGTTGAATAAAAAAATCTGCAGAACGTGCTCATTTTTTTTATGCAATTACTCGTACAAATAAGCGATAAAATAATCGTAGTAGCTGCTGCCCTAATGCAAACACCTCTGTTTTCAAATTTTAAGACAAGTCACCTAGATGAGAGAAGAGGTCTCCATGCTCCCGCTGTCTCTTGGCACAGAGCTGCACCAGGTGTTGCAACCTGACGAGGCAGTCGGGAGACGGCGAGAAGGCGGAGGGGTGCATGACGACCACGGGCCTCTGATTGTTACTGCCAGCATCCTTGCAGCAGACAGGCGGCTGAGTAGCAGCAAAAGGCATTTTCCTGCTGAGCGACGGTCCAGAATGTTGCCCTGAATTGGGCAATGCGTTTGCAGGCATCCCTGGAGGCAGAAAGTTGACTGTCTGAGGTGGTAGTGGATTGCATAATAAACCCTGCTGCTGCCCTGGGAAGGGGAAGGACGACACGCCGGGCTGCTGAGGCGGCTGGAGGAGGCCCTGCGTCGGCCGCGGCAGATGGGCGTTGAGCGGCGAGGAGGGGTGAAGGCGCGGAACCGGCGACGCCGTAAAGTGCTCGGGAGTTGGCTGGAAGAGTTCCGCGTCTTGGGAGAGTTTCTGGTTGAGCGCCAGCCGACTCTGTAGCTTCTTCTTGATGCTGCTCACTTTCCGAGGGGTGCCCACCTCCTCTCCATCCGTTTCGTCCTCGTAAAAGGCAAAAGGGTCCAGGAGTTCGCCGTCAGCGAGGGGTAGCAGGCGCGAGCAGGGCGGAGACGGGGGAAGTTCATCTATGCCGTTAGTGGCTCTCAGAGCCAAAGAGGGCACCGTTATTTTGAGAGCCACTGACTCCAGGTGAGCCCGAGGACGCATTTCCTCTAAAGCATCGTGCTTCTTCTTGCGCTCCTTCTTCGGGATGAAACCGAGAACCTGCAGGTGGCTGTTGCAGTATCTGGTAAATAAGAACACATCCCCCAGATATTCATCAAAAAAAAAAAAAAAAAAAAAATGATTTTTTTATATGCAGAAGTGAATCAAATGTGCCACACGTGCACTCATTCAAAACCCACCTGCGATCCTCAGACTTTGGGATGGGGTTGGTGCATCGCTGACTGTTGTATTTTGCCACATATTCACACTGCTTGAAAGGAGCCGTCTTGTCCTCCAGAACGTGTCGGATGCAGAACGCGTACCCATTGAGCCTGCGCTGCTTGCACAGCTTCGGACTATACGAGCACAGCGGCTTATTGTCCACCTCTGAGAAGTGTATGTGTTTGCCTTCATACATCACGTGACTCTTGTCCTTGAAAACATCAGCTGACAGGACAGAGGAGGGAAAAAAAAATAATTAAAAAAAATCACAACTCCAAAACTTTACAACCATCCATGCACTCTAGAGATAAATGAAAATATTCAGTTATTATGTTCAACCACATTGTCTTGCAAAAAAAAAATAATAATAATAATACGCTCTGTATTTTTCACATTTTGTCTTTTCCAGCTGACAAACATTGATGTATTTTCCTGGAACATTTTGCAATAAACCCCCAACACAAAGTAGCACATGACTGAAAAGTAGAACAAAAATTATTTATGGTTTACAAGTTTTTGCTCCAATAAAAACTTAATAAACACTGTGGGGTACATTTGCAATTCATTCCCTGACTAGCAATTTTCCAAATCATGCCATGGACTCGAATCGGATTTGGTCTGAACTTTTACTAAACAGTATTTAGACCAATGCATACAAATACTTTTCTGTTGCTACAGTGGAAATGCTTTCCACTGTAGCAAACTGTCCAAATTGATGGAGGGCCTTTGCCCCACTCTTAAGACTTAGCAGTTTTCTTCAAGGATCCCTCAGTACTGAACTGTTCGCATCCTCCCTTTAACTCTGACCAGCTCCTGGCTACCTGCTGAAGAAGTCCATTCTCTCAGCATAATGCTGGCTGTCATATCTATGTAGATGGTGTCTTTAGGATAATGTGTAATATTAGTTGTTCACCACACATTGCAAAGGTTTGTTCCATCTAACTTATTCCACGTGTTTGCTCTGCACCCTCCAAATACACTCATCAACTTTTAGTTGGTTTTATTATTTTACAAAATGTCAACTTCAGCTTCACAATTATGAGTCATTTTGTGTCACTCTGTCACATAAACTTTTGAAAGATTACAGTGGGGTTAGAGGTTATAACATGACAAAAGGTGAAAATGCCAAGGGGATGTTTTTCAATAATAGATGGAATAAAAATAGCCATTTTGTATACAGCACAATGCATTTTCTACATATTGAGCAGATTTCTTCTGGTTTTGTTGCAACTTAATAACTGGCAACTAAATCCAGTTAATATCTATAAATACAGGCATTTAAGGAAGTCAAGTCAAATTCATCTAAAATACTGATTAATTCCTTTCATACTCTGATATTTTATATGCAAACACCTCTAAGTGAGAAATTTGTGGCAACCATATGTGTAATTTCAGTGTCAATTCAAAACTTACTAAAAGGGAAACGAAGCAGACATTGACTTCCAAGTGAAGTCAATGTCGAAGAAGCACGTGTTATCTTGGTTATAGTGACAAATTATATATTTTTTATTTATAGCTGAGATATTTAAAAACTTTTGTTCTAAAGTAGCTGTGAGCATCGTTACATCTGTATTAATATAAATTACAATTCGACACAGTGTAAAGTTTAAACTGTGCTCTTTATTGTGGTTAAAGGCTTAGAGGCGGGGAAATAAACATTAACTAATGTTAGGTTAGCTTTAACTACTAAATGAATACCATTAGCGTGCTACATTAGCTTAGCGAACGACGGGAGGCACTTAAACTTTATACAGTTATACTACAAACAACTGTATATCTACTATTTACCTATGTCTCATTTTTTAAGTATAACCGTAATATTTGTTAGACAGATAAACTCATTTTTTACAAGGGCTGAACAAGAACACCTATTTTTTTTCCCTGTTAGCTAACAAAGCTAAAAACACAAATTAGTAGGCGGTAGCTAACCAGGAAACGGAAACATATCCAAACAGAGGTCTATTTCCAGTTTAGATTATTTCGAAAAAATAAAGCATAAACATAAGATGCCAGCAACAGCTTGTCGGAGCCTGTTTTAGTCATTTACCGTAATGCAACTGAAAAGATTTATGGTCAAATACTTTCAAACAAAGGGTATACATACGAGGATTACGGCCTGTTCTGCCGAGGCCTCCGCAAAAATCGATGAGTTATAGCCACTGTAATTACATAATGTAACATTTGCAGGCTGTAAACAACTAAAACGTTTATATTACGTATCTTACTCCTACTCTAGACGACCAGAATTTAAATATTACTGTAAAATAATGATCAAATGTATTAAATAGTAAAGGCCTATTAACCTCGAAAAGACGGCGACCTCTAGTAAATTGCCAGTCCGACTGAGGCCCGCGTAATGCGGCGCACTCAGAAATCGATCCCGAGGCTGCTCACGACTCCGCTTACCTTGAATGGGTTTGGGCTGTACACGATATTCGCTCCAGATAGACGGCCGAAATGTCTATTAGAATCAGCTAGGCTACTCGGGCATCGATATTCCAGGTAGGATAGTAACGGCGGTCTTCATCGAGCTCGAATTTTCTTGAAATATGGACCCATGTAAATATAGGCTACCCAGCGCAAATTACAAGCCGTAGGTAGGCTGCTGAGGACATTTGTTGGATCCACAGCAGACTCCTCACAGCACCACTACAGGCACTGCGGGGACATGACAACAATCCACTCAACAACAACAACCTCTCCTACCATATTGGAAATTTAACTTTGTTAAAATCTCTACAATGTGCAACTATGGCTGAATGAAACAAATTATGGTGTGAATGAAGGACAGTGCAGTTCACGTGTTCGGCACTGAAACAAATTAGTCCGACAGAGGATAAAAATCCACCTGGACTCCGACTATAATCGTCCACATGAATGAGTTATCAGCCCTCCTGCCACACTGTTGCCCCGCTGTTCACTAATGACAGATCCAGTGTCAATCAGACACAGAGCCTCCATCTGGAAAACTTTAGTAGGTGTAATTTTAGTATACTTTGAAAAGCAAAAACTTAAATAAATTTGAAAAGATTTATTTGACTTTCTACCAATTTCAGTTTATTTATTTTGAACACTTTTCAAAAAAAATATACACTTAAACTATATACTCTTTTTACCTTATAGATTTCAGGATATCTATCAAATATGAGGTGATATTATAAACTCTGCAGACAAAAAGGTTAAACAATGACATTCCATTACAGAACATCTACAGTGATGTGCAAAAAAGTATCCATCTAGAAAAGTGCAAGTGTAGAAGTTGTGCGTATCATTTGACGGCTATTCATTGTGCTTCAGCAAATGGCTGGCTCTTCCACAGCTTGGGCTCCCTCTGTGGCAGCTTTCACACATTTTGCCATAGTCTGGGAGGCTCTGCTTATGGGATCTGTGGGTACAAATTTAAAGCAGATTTTAAACTGCCATTACAGCATGGAAGAAAAGTTCTAAAGTGTCTATGAGATTACATATTTCGGAAAAAATATATACTTATTCTTTCCCAAAATCGCTCAGATGATTGAAAGACATATTTCAAAACTACAGCTTAAAATATTGATTATGTTTATATTCTTAATAACACAACATATTCTTGTCCTTTTTTTAAAACATACATTTAGAAAAACAGCTAAAGCATGTTTAGCAATTCGGTCTACTTTATTTGACATTACTGCAACTCTTAGAGAATTCGTTCAAATCCTCTCCGTTATTAATAAAATAAAAAGTATTTTCCGAAACTTTGAAGGAGAGTCCTTGCTCAAACACTTTATAACATCATCACTTTGTGATAACTCCAAAACACTGACTTAGTCCTTCAAATTCTTAGCGACTAAATAACACATGGGACCAGTTATTTGAGGCGTTGCCTTCAATTACAATCACAGGTACGCTTGGGGTCCAGTTAATCCAAATGTTCTGATCAGAAGCTTACAAATCCTAATTCTCCATCTCGTTACTCTAGAATTAAGCAAATAAAACCTAAGTGACTTAAACAGAGAACATTTAGATTGATTTCATGTGAGAAGAAACTATAACAAATATATGTCTTTTTGAACACTGTACGCAATTGGATGTAATGTTTACAAAAAAGAAGAGCAGGATGCTTTTATATTAAACAATCATGAAATGTTTGTATTATTAATAATAATAATAATAATTTGGTCTTGCCTCTGAAATAAAAAACCACAATCATCGTATGACTTATGAATCTTTATAATGTAGGATTAGCCATGTTTTACTGCTACTCTCTCCCCATAGTAATGGCGACCCACCTGTCATGTAAAAGTCCTTCACAGTAAGCTGTGGGGGAACTAAGCTTTCAGTGAGCACTGCCTGGTTCACTCCCTGAAACAGATAAGGCATCAGCATCAAATAGAAACGGGTCACGTAAACAAAGAAACGTCACCAGTACACAGTGATGGAGTTGCTATGACTTGCTGCCTGTCTGCGATGGACTAAAATCCAAACAAAAGAAGATAACTGCTGACCTTGGACAGTTCATTAGCCTGCTTAAAATAGTTGGCCTCCTCAAGTTCATCGTATCGAACCAGATTAGGGGAAACCTCAACCAGTCTGTCACGTACTTCATCAAGACTGTCATAAGGCAGAGTCACTCCAGCAAGCTTTAAATAAGAAAAAGATATATATTATACAAATGTAATTATCTTTATTTGCAACATTATGCTATACGGACTTTGCTATACCTCAGATATGGCTCTGATGATCCTCCAGTCCTCCCTGGCCATGCCGGGAGGAGTCACAGCAACTTTGGTCTGCTGGGCACGGCCCTCTGTGTTCACATAGGTAGCCGATTTTTCTGTGTATGCAGCTCCAGGGAGTATGATGTCAGCTATCGGGGCACCCACATCACCATGGTGACCTAGATAACAATACAGAAAGCCATAAAAGAAAGCTCAACTTTCTGCCTTGATATGCAGTTCATTGCAAAAGCATATGTATTCCTCAAACGTTCTGACATTGCTAGTACAAAATTCACTGTTTGTTTAAAGATTTTTGTTCCAGTCCAACAGCATTTAACAGAGAAGCTTCTAAGAGGCTCCTGGTAACTCTGGATTAGCTGCAGAGCTCCACAGCTCAGCAAGGACAATCTGTTGACAGCACAAATAGTCGTGCACTCCACAATTTTGGCTTTTGTAGATGAGTGGAAAGAAGAAATTGCTTGAAGATCATGAGAAGTCTCATTTTAATGGTTTACCACAAACCATGTAGGAACAGAGTAAATCTGGAAGGTGTTCAAGTTACAAAGGCAAAAACTCAACACTTCGGCTTTCATGGAAACGCCCTATGAAGAGAAAATATAACTGAATCACCCTGAACACATCAGCCGCACAGTGAAATATAGTGGTGGCAGCATCATGCTGTGGGGACACTCTTCTTGTACATGGACAGACAAGATGATGTTCATTTTCCTTCCTCTTTACAATTGTAGAACACTTTGCACGTAACTTTGCAAATACAAAACAAGTAGATTAAAGTTTGTGGTTATAATGTGACAAAAGGAGAACGTGCTTAATGGCTATGAACAACATGAACAATATTTTATTTCTGCTAAGAAGTCCCTGAGGTCAAAAAAGCTTAAGAACTTTTGATTCAGGAAGGCTTTTAATGCTCAGTGTCACTGTGACATATTATTCCAGATTCCTAACTTTTATTTATTTATTATCTGTTTTGCTTTTGTTTGATTTTTTAATGATCTATGTGACAAACTTTGGCTGTGTTGTACAGGGATGTATAAATCTGAAAGTGAGTGAATGATAAAAGCTTGACTACAGATGTGATGCATAAAGAACTGTTACATTTGCTAAACCAATCAAACCATTATAAACCTATGAGAATCCAAATCTATTTGGTTACTCATATTTGCATCTGTTTCTACTGGAATCCAACTAAACCTCTTAAGAGTCAATAAATCAATGTAAAAACTATGTTCAGTACAACGGCTTCTACTGGTGTGAAGTAAAAAGGATTACCTTGATAAATTATCAGGCTGTCCTTTGCAAGGTCTTGGCGAGTGATGCAGCCGGCATCAGCCCCAAGTAAGAACAAAATTTTAGGTGGATTCTTCAAGATTGAGTCAACACCTGGCTTGTATCCCAGATCAAGTGCTGCCACTTGACTAGCAACCCTGATGACCCAAGCAAAACAACAAAGATTTACTAAGGGAATCATACTGTTAAGTTAGACTTCTCTGAGGTTGCTACCTATGAAGCACATTGAGAATCTTCCAGGTTCCCTGCAGGCCGCTGCTGACCCCAGCATTCCTAGCAATAGTTGACACAGCAGCCATTATCGCAGCCCCGTCCTCCCTCTGCAGGCAGCTGCTGCCAACTACAACAACGGGGCGCTTTGCTTGAGCCAAAACCTGCAAGAGCAGCCAAAGTCCACGAAATCAGAAGCAACACACCTAATGTTTGGGAACATTTGTACCTGTAAGCTATCCGGGGGTTACCTGAGAGAAAGGGTGTGTTCCTGATGAAATTTCTTTCAGGATCTTGGCAGACTCTCCAAGATGATCATAAGTGTAACTTAGGTCCACTTTCTTGCCCACTAGAGCTACGTGCAGCTCATTGTGAAGCCAGCTGTGGCAATTTCATATGAAATCAAAGTTATTTACTTTCTACAGTCACACAGTCAAATGTAAGCAGTTTATTTGCCTTTTTCTGACGCGTGCATTGAAGAGAGGAGCCTCATAGCGAGGGTTGGTGCCCACAAGCAGGAGCACGTCAGCCTCTTCAATGCCAGCAATGCTAGTGTTAAGCAGATATTTGGAACGCAGATCAGTTCTAAAAAAGAAAAAAAGTTGGGGAAAAAAAACAGGATCAGCACATTTTCACAATGAACCCCTGCTTGTTTTCATCTCATGGTCTTACCCAGATCCAGCCATCGGAAACAATTCCTCAGTGCAGAGGTCATCACTATTCAAACGGTTCAGCAAGTCTTTCAGGGAAACGAGAGCCTCTGCATCCACCAGACCTCCAACAACACCGGCAATGTCGCTTCCTTTGACGCTTTGCAACTGCCCAAACAGGATCGTGTTATTTTTCAAGTCCTTGAAAAGTGGAGGAAGCCATAAAATTGTCAATTACTGACCGCTCCAGCCGCTCGGGTCAGAACGTCTTCCCACGATGTCGGGACCAAATCCCCAGATTTGTTTCTCACCATTGGCTGAGTAAGCCTCTGTCTCTTTAGACCATCATAAGCAAACCTGTTAAATATAAAAGTCAGAACCAGTTAAAGAACGAGGCAAATCTTTATGAGCACTTTAATCTCTTTCTAATGTGAAGAGCCAGTTTGATGAGGAATTAACCTGGTTTTATCTGAGATCCATTCCTCATTTATATCCTCATGAAGACGGGGTAAAATCCTCATCACTTCCCCACCACGAGTGCTCACCACTATGTTACTCCCCACAGCATCCAGAACATCAATAGACTCAGTCTTCCTGTAAAAAAAAAAAACAATGTAAACAGAGTAGAGCTTGTGAAAAGTTAACAAAGCGTGTTGAGAACTATCTAGAAACCTGGTCTCCCAAGGACGAGCAGTGAAAGCGTAAGGCTTGGACGTCAGCGCTCCAACTGGACATATATCAATAATGTTGCCAGATAACTCCGACATGAACATCTTCTCCACATAAGTCCCAATCTGGAGGTCGTTGCCTCTGCCGGTGGTGCCGAGGTCCTCCACACCTGCAATCTCACTGGCAAAGCTGCAGGCGCAACATAAAACATGTAGGTGTACTTACTTTTTCCACAAGTGACAGCGCATCCCAGTTTACCATTTCACTTATAGTTTGACTCACCGCACGCAGCGAGTGCACTGGATACAACGGGTCATGATGGTTTTTATAAGGGGTCCAATATTTTTATCTTCCACTGCTCTTTTGCCCTCTGTGAAGCGGCTTCGGTCGCTGCCAAACTGCATGGACTGGTCCTAGCAAAGAAATATTTGTTATAACCTATTAGGGTAAATATTAACTTAATAGTGTGTCTTGGATTTACTTACTAAGCTAAGGTTTTAAGATCACTACATTAGCTTCCTGTGTCTTGTGCTCATTATAAGAATCTTCAGATGGTTATTAAGGTTTTACATTTTATTAATTTGGTCTATACTGGTTGGGTTGTCTTTTTTAAAAACAGATTTGTATTTTCTTGTTATATTTCCACTCAAAAATATGTTTCCAATAACTTTTTAATATCAGACAAAGATAACCCTAGTTAATACAAAATGTAATTTTTATTTCATTTATAAGGAAGACAGTCATGCAAACAAACCTGACCATATATGAAAAAGTAATTAGTCCCTACAGCTAATCAATGGTTGCGTCATAATTGGCAGCAATAACTATCAAGTGTTTGCAATAACTAGAAATGGATTTTTCACATTACTGAAGGAATTTTAGTCCACTCCTTGCAGCATTGTTTCAATTCAGATAAAGTGAAGCATTTGAGTATGGATGGCCTGTTTAAGGCTACATTACAGCATCTGAAAATAAATATGAGTCCAGAGTTTGATTAGGCCACTCTAAAATATTCATTTTGTGAATTTATGGTTCCAATTACTGCACCATAAACTGCAGTAAGTGCAATTTATGGTGCCATTACTGCACCATAAATTGGTGAGATTCTGAAGCAGCAAAGCAGAATTTCACCTCCCCACACACACACACCTTACTATTAGAATAATAATTACCTTTCTTTCTGAAACACTCTGAGAATTACACCAAATGTATAAGGACACACACCTTTCGAAAGGTCCCACTTTTGTCTAATCAAAGTCTTTGAGCTCATCAACATGTTTTGTGGCAAGAGTGTGATTACCCTTTGATCAACGGTTGTTTTACCTTGAAACTTTACCCAGTCGTTTACTGTTGAATCATGAATACAGACTATAACTGAGAAAAAGCTGCACGGACTGGAGTAGTCTGCTCCATCTTGAACAATGTACACGGCATGCTCCACTGACTGTAGACCGCACGCGGAATGCAGCGGGTTCATAGACACCCGTCAACGTGATTCAAAGAACCTTCGTATGAGTCATTTAAGGTTTATTTAAATAATTTATGCAATTAAACAAAACAAAAAAAACAAAAAAAAAACATGACGGGACATAAAATGTTGTGTTATGACTGGAAATAAACGTAACGTTAATTCAACAGCCACCTAGAACAACCAATAAAAAGAAGAAGAAGAAAAAAAAACACATCCGGATGAGAAATTGATTATTGTGGCATTGACTGTCCTTATTTTCTCTTTTTCAAAACAATGTTCTTATTTGGGGCTTTGCGTTTTCGCAGGTTGCCCCGGCGTGCACTCGTGCGCTCTCCTACCACTTCATTCACCGGCGGCGCAGGTGAAGGAATACTGCCTCCAACTCCTGCCAGGGCATTTACAGCCATTGTGAGCCCAGTCACGGCACTGACCAGCTGCCTCGTGTGCGCCACGATGGCCTGAGCGTCACGGCGGAAGGCGCGCGCAACATTGGCTACGGCTCTGATCTCCTGCGCAATGGCCTGTAGTGAGTCCGTCTGATTTCGTTCCTGCATCCGCTCCAGATCAACGTCATCACAGTCAGGACACCTTCGGGGCTCTGCTGGGCAGTTTTCTGATGTAGGCACACCGGTGGAGGAAGGCGGCGACTTCCGGCCATCTGATAAAGATTCACCAGCTAAGAATAAAGAAATTAACTTAGTTTTTAAATTAAGGTGGAAAGAAAACATTTGATTTATTTAATCCATTCATGGTGGATTAAATTAAGTGTTATTATGGGCATACCTTGGTTTACTATTTTTTGCGAGTCACATCCCTGGATTCCAACAATTTGCTCATCACAAAATGTTTCCAGAAGCGTCTGCTCAGTTGTAGTGAGGGGGATCTCTTCTACAGGGGCCCCGATTGATTTGCTAGAGGTGGATTTATTGAGGGAAAGTTTTTCTTTTGTTCTCCTGCGAAAATCCTGCCATCTTCTTTTTACTTCATCGGGAGACCTTCTGGTTCGGCTCACAGCATTCACCTTTTCACAGATGGCCTCCCAAATCGCGTTTCTTCTGGCAACACTTAGATGTTTCTGCTTAAGTTCTCCACTGTGAGCACACGTCTCCTCCACCAGCACCTTTAAAGCCAAAGCTTCAAATTTCATTTTTCTTTTACGGCTGCTTTGCTCCTCCAAAAGGTCCATGATGGCAGACAGTAGCACACGCAAAATCCTCCTTTAGATATCGCGGTTAGTACTACCTTTGCGGCAGTAACGAACTGCGCACGCAACACGCCCACTAATCACACGTGAAATGTATATATTATTTTTTTTATTTTTTTGCACAAGCAATTTAGCGCTCCTAAGCTCTAGACTCAGGTTCTGACACGAGGGTCGCTCTATGGACCGCCGAAGTCGCGAGATTGAGTATTCACGCGAGAGTATGTACCGGAAATCCCCCCTGCATAAACAGAAGCCGGTGTCGTGCCAAGATAGGTAACCCCCCGACAGAATACGTTCCCCTGCGTCGGGAGCGCGCACTGGGCAGGGAGCGCGGATCCAGTAGACGAGGTACTATGAAAACGTGAAAGACGTGCGTCTTTGCTTCATCTTAGTTGCAACAAAAATAAATTGTTGCCACGTGGTGTAGCATGTGATTATTTCAACACATACTTAATTAATAACACGACGATCACGTCTGTGTAAATATAAACACTGAAGCTACATATTTGCCATTCTCATCCTGAAAAAAATACTATTTGCTAAACAAAATCCCTCTTTCCTGAGTTGATCACTAACAACGGTTGTCTACTTTACTCTTATGTTAATTCAAAGGGAAGGGAGTTTATTTTTCATTTTCATTGTACAAAATATTTAGGTAACGTTTAGATAAAGGATTAAGTTCAACATAAATAAAGAAAGATTGAATTATTTGGTACTGATAGCTGTTTGAGTTCCATATTTACACCTTGGAGCATCCACATTACATCTGTGTATGTTCAATATGTTCTTCACAATACAGCATTCTAACATCAGGTATACTTCATTCCACACTGCCAGAATCTGTATCCCTACCTACTCCACCTATCAAGCAATTTAACTCTGATTAATTCTTTCTGCCGTAAACTTCCTCGGGGTAAGCCGAGAAATTTCCCCTGTTCGTTTGGGACAGTTGTAGCAGACAGATCTTGCTACAACTGTGCGCTCATCGCTGCAGCCCTCTGGGCTTTCTGCACTGTGGCTGCTGGGTGGTGGCTCTCTTTGTGGTGGTGCTCCTGGGGGACTTCCCCTGTGCTCCAGGGGAATTTGGAGGCCTGCTTTGGGTCCTGGAGGGCAGGTGTGTGGCTCCTCACACCCATTATTGAACATTCTTATATACACATGTCTGGATTTAGAGATACACTTTGTTGAGCTGTGGTTGCCAATAAATACATTATGTATTAATTAATGCCATGTTGTTGTTATATAGGTATATGTTGTTTATCGCTGAGATTCCATGGTTCTCTGTTTTTTTCCCCTCCTTCCTCTCGGCAGGTTATCTATTCTTGTTTCTCTCCTCTACCCTTATCTTGTTCTTTCCCTTTAAGCGTTTCCCCCAACCTTTCTCTCATTCCACCACCGTGTCCATTACATCTGAAATAAACCCAAAGCAATTATACAGCCATCCATTTTTATGAACCTTTCCAGATTGGTAGATGGTCAAAGACTTTTAGAATCTGCTCTTGAATTTCCACACATCTAAACCTGATGTGTTGCCTTTTGCCTTCTGCCCTTCATTAATGAAATCACTTGAAAACAGCTTTTTATGTTATCCTTGTCCAACATTAATATTTGTTTGATCTGAAACATTGTGAGGCAATAACTTTTTCACAGTACTGTATGCATCTTCCTGATCCCTCCATTGGGTCAGAAGATGCAGGTTGATGTTAATGGATAATGTCGAGTTTCGTTTGTTGCTACAGGCATCTACAACTCTATGTGCTGTTGTGAAGTTTAAGTGAAACTGTGAAAAGTGTGACGGAAATAAAGATAGACAAATTACCTGGAGATCACATTCACCTCCTTGATCACAAATTGGACAATCCAGAGGGTGGTTAGCCAGTAGGAACTCCATCACACCTTCTCTGTGTGAAATTCACCAAAAGTAAAATTATAACAGATCATTGGAGAATCTTGTTTTGTTTTTTGTTTTTTTAATCAAAGAGAGCTCCATTTTCACAGATCCAAGTTTTTGCAGAGTTTACCCGCAAACAATAAACTTCTACATGGATCAAGCCATTTTCTCATAAATCAATTTAATCCTACCTCGCCTTCCTTGTTTTGTCAGAGTCGGTAAGGATATTCCAGCCTTTCATGACAGGCATGGCACAGGCTGCCACAGGCTGGAAGGTAAACACAGGATATAAGCAGCTGTGGCCGTTGTCTGTGTAAAAACAGGCAAAGGCTAGACTATCCATGTAGCCTAAACAATACCTTGGGAACTTTCTCTATTTCCACAAGACACATGCGACAGTTTCCAGCAACTGACAGGCGCTCGTGGTAGCAGAAACGGGGAATCTGCATCCCTGCCTTCTCACATGCCTGTGACAGAATACAGCCAGCGTCACATCCAGAGAGAAGATATCCAGAAATCTCTTTAATTTAGATTATTTAATGGTGAAGAAAGCCATGTTAAGAAATAAATGGAGTCTTTGTCAGATTACATTTAGACACCATGGAAACAACAAATCGTGGATCACTAGTTGGAAGTTGGTAGAAACACAAGTCAATTTAAAAAAAAAAAAAGTAAAATGCTTTAAGTATATTTATTTATTTATTTATTTATTTATTTATTTTAAAAAGCCTTTTTAGGAGTACCAATTGTTGTGCCAGGATTTTTTTCCCTCACTGAATAAATGTTCTCAGAAGATGAATTTTGCTATAGTTTGAGATCATACATCTAACTTCTGCACATCTTTATTAGGAGCACCAATAAGTGTGCCTGCTACCTGCAACACAGTGGTTCCTGGCTCCACCATGACAGACTTTCCATCCACAAACACTTCCAGGAGGTTAGTGGTAGCAGCAGCTGCTGCTGTAGACGCGGTGCGAGCTTCAGGCAAAGACATACATCATTTAATCATTTACTACACTTTAATTTGTGCTGTAAACAGTCATCCAAAGTAGTAAATATTAGTCAAGACCATTACAAATATATATATTTTTTTAAATACAGAAATGCTATGAATGCTAACCATTCATGGGAATGGATGCTGACTTTCAAAGTTCTTAAGAAGACAGTAACAGAACCACTTTAATATTAGATCCTGAATGTGAGAGACAGTTTTATTCGAACCTTAATTGGATATATACTCTCCATCAGTCTTCAGTATGTGACTACAAAACTAAAGCAGAAGAAAAACAAAGAATGCTGATCATCATTTGGACTGTTTTCACACAAAGTTAATCTATGGGTACAGTGAGCTATAACTTCATGCTTATGTCATAATTAAATGTTAAAGGATGCAAAAAATGTCTTAAATGTTCACCTAAAAAAGTGTGAAAAGGAATTTCCACATTTTTCCTTCCACCTAATTTTCCACTAATTTGCTGGGATAAAAGGCTCTGTGAAAAGCCAGCTTCTTTAACAATGACCTTTAGCGGCTTACTCATCTTGCTCTGAACCATGATTAAAACAGAAATAAAAATGGAATATATTAACCTTCCTATATATGAATTTCCATTTTTAATCAAATTAGTAAAATAAAACAACTTTTTGAAATTCTAATTTATTCAAAATCCTAAGCAAACTAACAAGGGTTCAAGAATGCACTGGTAAAGAAGCTATATTTTCTAAAATTTTCTTCCACTAAACTTTCCATTAATTTACTTAGGTACATCACTGTGAGGAGGTAGTTTCTTCATCAATCCCCAATTCTGGCTCACCTTCATTGCATCTAATTAAAAATCATAAAAAAAAAAAATTCTTTAATCAATAAGTGACATACCAATCTGCATGTCTTAATATATATAACATGTAAGATGATCTTTTTCAATTTCAAAGACTCTGAACACATACACTGCAGCAGGATTTAGTAGTACTCAGAGACTGATTGTCCACAATTTTTCCTTCCACCTTACTTTCCATTCATATGCTTAGATACAAAATTCTGTGAATAATTATCTCTTTTAGTATTGATCTGTCGTGACTAATATCCCCTCTAGACGCCAGTGAACTCGACAACTGTCAAGTTAACTGTCTTAATAATCATTCTGTGTCCAACAAATTGTAATACTTTTGTAATAGAAATGTATTATATTGGTTTCATGTAATATTCTCATTATGAGATCAAATACATTTTGGCTTGAATTAGATGTAAGCATAGTCCAGAACTGAACACTTTAAGCATTTCAATATATGTACATGTATTAACTTACTGATTTGCTGAAATGTATTTAATTTTTGATTATATTCTAATTTATTGACATGGAGCTGAAAGAAACACGACTGGTCAAACTGACCCTTAGGCACAGAAGTAGCTGGTGCGTTTATAATCCTTCCTTTAATCCATCAAGTCCAGCAAACTAACTAGTGGTGCAAAGCATTCAAATATTTTCTTTCCTCAGCAGAGCAGACAAATGGCTGTTATGCAAGAACACAAAACAACATGTTGTACGAACTGCAGCCTTGGCAGGATCAATTAATCATTTGATGAAGTGGCATATTGTTACCATTGTGAGCTGCAGCAGCCGCACCTCCCTTAATAATAGCTGCTGGAAAAAAACTGCGATTCACAACAGGCAACCGCAGCATGCTGGAAGAGACACAGAAATTAATACTGCATCTTATCACGGAGTACAAGTCTACTCTTCGAGAAAGAGCGAGAGAGAGAGGGAGACAGAGACATAATATATGACGCTCCAAGCCGAGTGGGCGACCTCAATTAGCCTCCGGGTGGCTACCAAAACAAACGCAGAGGAATACTAGCTAAAGTTGTCCATCCACCGGACCGTTATTAAGAAGCTAACCCACGCCACGGCACGTTAAAAAACAAACACGTCCATCCCGTCCACAATGCGCTGGGCTGAACAATACAGTTAAAATATAATGCTTAATATTCTAACTGCGTAAAAATGTTTTAAACAATGGTAAAACGTCGCAAACACACATGCAACGTCACAACTGCTAACTGTCCGCAAGCGTTATGCATTTAAAGAAACCCCACATTCTTACTGTTTACCATTTTAGTATGGAGTTTATCTAATTTTACTCACCTTGCCAGTGTTCTCATTGGGCCGTGTGCCTCGCAGATTGCGGGCTGTCTTCTAATTCTGCTGCGTCACGGATTAAGTAATCCTGAAGCCTGTACCATAATCCCGAAAAGGAGGGCGAGCTTCCTGTGACTGCTTTAGAGAGTAAAGTTGTCTCTCTATTATCAAACTTTATTATAAAGGTCACTGCTTGAAATTCATTAGATATATTACACTCTGATGCGCAGGACCGTTTAGTGTGTCATAACATAAATGTTTCCCTCTCACCCCATAAAACAGGGATTACTAATAAATCAGTATTTTTCTGTACGTTTCTTTGAATTAAGGCACATAGAGAGCAAAGTATAATGAATTAAATGTAGCAAAGGGAAGTAATACAGAACCAGGGTTCATATTTTAAAGCAGTTAGAATAAAACATATTTCTGTGCTGTCACATCAATGTCTGACTTTACAGAGGAATCTGACTAATGACATTTTGTTTCCTGAGGAAGATTCATTAGGAGGGGCTTATTGAAACCAAAAATCATCAAAGTCTGCTAAACTTCTTCACATTAAGTTACATATTATTTTTAGATTAACAGACTTTAACTCTGCTGCTCAAAGTAATTTTTTTTTTTTTGCTTGGCACACATTCTTTGCCAAGGATTCCTCAGGATAAATAAATTGGAGGCAATCACTCAGCAACACTGGCCAGGTGTTCAGGAAGCTCAAGAAATATATCACTTTCGATCCCAGCAGTAACAAACTCTGAGCTCCAACTTTTAAGATAAATAAAATACAGTATTAAGCTGGATGATCATTCCTTGCTGTGGGTTTTTATTGGTTGGGTTGATTCAAAGATCAGAGGAAAGAAACCCTTTAAACTGCATCCAGAAAGCCTGGAAGCAGAATGAAAAGATTAAAAGAACCTCTCTCTGGTTTAAAGCAAAACATAGAATTGAGGGATGGCTTTGGAATATTTTGTTGTCTGGTCATTTATATTCTGAGGTAAAGTGGGATCAATTACTTTTTGGGGAGTAAACATTAAGGTCACTTTTATTTATTTCATTTATTTAATCGAGGAAATTTCCTAATCTCAAATGTCTTCCTCGACGGCATCCAGGACATCTGAGAAACGTATTAGTTAAAAACAGGAAAGCAACTTTTTAAAGTCTGCTTCCTGCCAATGTTTTCCCAGAGAGATAAACCAGTACCCCCAAGAGAACACGTTGATACACAGGGATTGACCCCAGTGATGCAACCAGACGGGGTTAACCCCAAAGGAAAAAAAAACAGGAAGCAGCTACATTTTTAAGAGACAGTGAGGAAATGTGGATGAAATGCACATCTGGCTCCATTTCTCACTCATGCATGCCTTTCAGCCACATGTTAGACCCTCAGGATAATCCAGTCTGATTGAAAACATCAAGCAATGCTTCTTTATGTCGGAACAAAACAAACACTGAAATAAATCACGACACAACTCAGAAGAACATGTTTATTAAGACATATAAGATTTACTTTAAATATGTTTGGATAAAACATTTTTTTTTTATTTAGCCCTTTGTGTAATAATGTTAAACATACAGCAGATGTCTAAATAGATGAGGTAATACAATTCTAACAGTCAGAGTAAACCTGAATAAAAGTGCTTTGCAAAAGTAATCATATACCTTGAATATTTGCACAATTTTTTTGCATTACTTTCACAAAACTCGCTGTATTTTATGTTTTTGTGTTACGCAACATAGCACATAATTGGGATTAGAAATACAAATGATATAGATGAAATTGGGTGTGGATTTACAGGGGACAAAATGTGCAAGGAGGTGGTCAGGCCACATAGATCCACTGCACTTCAGCATGAACGCACAGCTCTATTAGTCTTTCACACAGGGAGCATGAAAACAAAGATGTTAAAAAAAATAAATAAATGCATGTAAAACAACTTCCATTTCAGAAGTTCACACTTTCAACATGAATTGGTCTATTGCATATCTCTTACATGTTATAAAACCAAACCGTTTCTAAATATAGGGGGGTAAAAACTGTGGATTTAGCCATTTTCTTTGTTCTAATCTGCAAGATTTTTCGAAACATAATTATTTGAAAAGTAGTCTTTTTATTTCTCTTTGGGTCTCAAATCAGGATTTTTTTTCCCCCTGAATTTTCCATAATTAAAAAACTTTCTATTCAAGAAAATGAAGGCTATTAAATTTGTAAAAGTTTGTTTTTCATTCTCAAATCTAAAAAGATGTAAGACTGCATTCTATGATGAAGCAAGCTGAATTAATGATCAGATGGGTTCTTCTGGCTCAAGACAAAATGTATTCAGTGGAAATAAGGGGGGGGAAATGGGTTTTAGGTTGTTGACACTTGGTCTATCACATAAAAATACAATACAATTAACTGAAGTTTGTGGTTGTAATGCAAAAAAAGTTTATATAAATACTTTTTCAAGACACTATAATCTTTCGCCACAAACTACAATTAAAAACCTGCCTTATATGTCATTCCTTGTACAATAAATGTTATCCGTTTCTGAATAATTAGACAGATAGAAATGCATCAAGATTTAAAAACATGTTAGAAACCTTTGATCGAGACCTCTGCGACAAAAATCAACAACATCCAGATTTTCCCGTTAGTGAAAAGTCAATATACAGATACTTTTACAAAAGTAAAAGCAGTCAGTTGCTTGCAGTGAATAGATGATTAATTAGAATAATTGCGCAGCCATTCTCTCCAAATCCTTTAAACAGTTGCAGCTGTAAATCTGGCCTCTTTCTGTGCAGATAAAAAGGTGGAAAGGGATTTACTTAATGGCATGCTGAGTGCAGTTCAGTTGAGTTTTTCCACTCTAAGCGATTTTCATTTGAAGCAGGCGGAGCTTTGTGGAAAATGAAGCAAAATGGGAAGATCTAAACACTGAGGCTGGAAAGAACAGCAGTGATTAGTCAGCCTTCTCTCACAGAGTCGACGACACTGTTGGCTCGTCTGGGACGCTTTCCTGATGTATGCCTTGCATAGTCTCTACGTCCGTGGCGGAGATGGACTGGCTCAGTTCTCTCAGGGAACTCTTGGTTATGTTCAGACACGCGTCCTTGAGGATATGGCGCACCTTCTTGCTAAGCAGCATGTACAGCAGCGGGTTAATGCAGCTGTTGAAAAAGCCCAAGCTGGTTGCTAGCGGGAAGCCAGCTCTCAAAATACTGTGCATGGTAAGTGAGTGGTGTACAAACAACTCCATCAAGCCGAAAATATGGAATGGCGCCCAGCAGAAAAAGAAGGCCAGGATGACAGCTGTGACTGTTTTTGAGAAGCTCGAGATGCGAACCAAACCCCGGGATTGCCTCACTTTTATTGACAGAAGTATGCCCGTCACGCTTATGGCGCTAAGTGGCAAGAGAAAGCCCACAGTGAGACGGACGGACACTAATATTGTGTGTATTGTAGCAGCTGTTGTGTGCTGGTTTGTTACGTGATAGTTAGTGTAGCATAACACTTTACCATTGACGTGTAAAATGTCTCGAAAGACCAGCGCGTGGCAGCTCAGCAGGGCAGCCGTTAGCCAAATGCAGCCACAAACAAGCCAGGCTCTGTCCGCTGTGCGATACCTTTGACACCAGTTCAGGTATACCAGAGAGACATACCTGTCTACACTGAGCACGGTGAGAAAGAGGACACTAGCATACATGTTCATCACGGAAACAAAGGAGTTAATTTTACACATGACCAGACCGAAGTTCCAATGGAAGTCCTTCAGAATGTAGTCGATGTAGAAAGGCAGAAAAAGCACAAACACAAAGTCTGCTATGGCCAGATTGAGCAACCACACACTGTTGACAGTCTTCTTGCTCTTAAACCCCGTCACCCAAATGACGGCTCCATTTCCAATCAGGCCAAGTGTGATGCAAGTGATGTAGATGACTATAGAGATGATGTGGATAGGTTCCGTCTGACTGTGATCCACTTTAAGGTCTTCCATATCACCGTACTCCTCATATTCATAGGTGTAGTTTTCATAATCTTCGGTGGAATTGGCCATGGTTTCAGGAATAAGATCTGTATGCTGGAGTAGATCTGTTGGAAAGTAAAAAACAAAAGCATAAAGAAAGATTCATCCATTGCTTGACTTCATATTTATCTTAAAGTGTGCTCTGGTACTGGTCAGACATTTTGGGTTGAAAATGGTGCCGTCTGCTGCAAGACCCGTTATCTTGTATGAGTGTGGGTTTTGTTGCTATACTTAAACATAAGTAATTTTATTGGACTTTATTTTGTTTCCTCATACACTATCCCTCACTTGGAGGCAAACGTAAATTCACAAAAGGTTTGTATTTCCTCTGCAAAAATGGACATCATGCACAGCTGATAACAATTTTACCCCAGGCTTAGCAAGGCTAAAGTTTATTAGATGACTGCAAAATGGCAACTTATAGTTTTGAATGAGTGGATGTAGAAATTTGCCCAAAATGATGTTTTTTGTTGTTGTTGTTGTTGTTGTTTTATTTACTGCTCTGGTTCCCGTCTTCTGCCCTTTTTTCTTGCCAGTTAGTTCCTGTGCTGAAGTTGGTGGTGGGTGTGTCAAAGAACATCCTGTCAACTTCAATTTACTTCAATAATGTGGAGAGACAGTGAGATGCCACATGGTTGAGGCACACATAGAAAAAAAATGTGATTTATTTTTTTTCTCTTGTTTGTGGAGGAGAACAGGGAGGAACTTGAAAATACCACTTTGTTCCACACTTAATGTAATATCTCTGAATCTGGGAGGAAGATAACCAGATGTTTGTACTCTTTGGTGTCCTTATAAAATACTAAATAAATTTGGTTAAAAGGTTTTTTTTTTTGAAACACAGCTGTTTGTATGACCATCAAGGCTGGAGAAGCCCTGGTAAAGTGCTGATAAGACCTGTCTGAGAATTCCTCATTTCTCTAAAGTCTTATCTAGTTATGTAACAAATGATGTGGTGATTCATTTTGCCTAAGTTGAGTATGACAACTCATACCGATAACAAACAAGTTAAAACCTCAACCTCTTTTTCCTCTATCCCTCTACAAACATTTCAAGTGTACATGATATAATTTTTGCAGCTCAGATATCAGCTATAGAAGTTATTAAATCAGCTAGAAGTCATGACCAGTAGCATTGCTAGACATGAAGCCACAAGATCTGAACAAGTAACAGTCTGGCTGATATTTCTGCATTTTTGTTGAAGAAAAGTATTATCTGTGATGCACAGTGATTCATGGCAGTGGAAACACTTTCTCAGATAACTGCTTGGCTACAAGATGCTAAGCAGTTGTAGCCACGCAATAGTTGTCTGCTTTTTTTTTTTTTTTCAATAGTAGACAGAAAAGTTGGTGAATGTCTTCAATTTCCAAATGCAAACCTTTACTCTAGTAGCATGGCTTTGTTACCAATGTGATCCAAACATTTAAGAAAAATATGCTCCATATTAAAAAAAAAAAAAACATTTTCCCATCTAGAGCTGAAATAAACATTTTGGCTATCTTAAAACTTTCAGAAGGAATATTTGTATTCTATTTGGAGAAAAAAGTATGATGTCATTCACATGTCTTTAGTCTATCATTTATCTTTGCCAGAGGAGCAGTCAGTTTCTTGCAATCTTTTAAAGAAATGAAAGACAAACCCAAAATAATGTGTCTGGCCACACCTATAAACATGTCTCTGAGAAAATAACTATTTTGTAAGGTCCTAAATGAGTATGCATGTTCATTCATTCATTATTTATTTAATTAATGTAATTTGCGTAGGACTTAAATTTTAAATCAACAAAAGTTTTAAAAAGCCTTAATTTTACCTTACTGAAATAAGAAGATACCCTGTTACACGTTGAGGTCATGCATATAATTAGATATTAGAAGTAACAACAATAGAAGTATCAGTGAATAAATGCATTTTAAATAACATTGAATAATTGTAATAAACTGCCAGATATGCACATTTGATGAAAAATATCCCATTAAGAAAAAAGAAAATACGACATTAGCAAGGCAGAGTCTCTGCATGTTCAGATGCATTTCAGTGAAAAGGTGCTGATCTGAACCCAATATTCAGTAACGTGCTGCTCTGCCGGGCAGTCAGAGCCACATAAACATTGCCGACATACTAAAAGGAGTGCTTTCCTCTAGGATTTTTCAAGTGGAGACTTTGAATGGCTTACCCGAAGAGTTAAGATTTCCCCCCCTTTTTTTTCTGGCTGTTTTGGAATCAGATCTCCGGCGACTCTCTCCGTCTTCTTTTCCTCTTTTGAGCTTTTGTCTTTAGCCGAGCCTCGTCTGGGGGTTGTTTTTGTCGGTTTCACAAACTCCTTTCCGACTGCATGTGCAGTATTCTTCCAAACCCAAATCAGCAGCTGTGCGCATGGGGGACAGGGATGAGGAGGGTGCGACTCCTTCCCAGCCCTCTCTGCCTGCCCAGACTGACGCGTCCAACATGTATTAAAAAAAAAAAAACCCAAAGGCGAACTTCACACAAAGAAGAAAAGTTTATTGGTCAGCCGCACGGAATGAAGGCGGCTTTCATTCAGCAAGGCTGCGTACACATTTTTTCTCTCTCTACATCTGCAGAGTAAATAATGAACGCACACTTTTCCACTCGGGGAAGAACCCAGGAGAGCTTTGAAAAGTCATCTGTTTCTATTGTTTTCGCATATTTTGTGTCTCTTAGGCAGAGCGCCTCAGTCAATTGTGTATTGACTGCTCTCTATTTCTCCCGCTAGGGGGTTTTTTTTTTCTTTTTTTTTTCTTTTTTTTTTTTTTTGTAGCAACCTGCTCCTTCTGAATGCCTAATGGGATAGCAGGTTTGTGACGGAATAGCCAAATCATGTTGGTCGTTATTCTTTTGTCCGCTTTGAATCACTCAGCCCTCACATGCAGTGCTATGTATTGCTCCTTCACGGATTTATCCTTTTGTTGTCATGCTAAATGTTTCAAATCATCAAAGAAAACATTTAATGATTATCTAATTATTTTTATTCAAGCTTTCTAAACGTGTCTGATTCTATTTGAAAAGTAATTGCCTCTTGTTAAATTATACATTTACTGCCACAAACCACATTATTTATTTATTTTAGAAAGATGAGTTCCACACTTATTCCATACTTACAACTTTAAGTTGAAGTGGGCAAAAAAAAAAAATCTCAAATCCTAATAACTCCTAAAATTCTATGTTACATGGAATAAGAGTGGCAGGCCTACCAAAATTAATTAAGAAACTCTTCTGAGAACAACCCTAAACATAAAGCCAGAGCTACAATGGAATGGTTCAGATCCAAATATATTCATGTGACAGGATGACTTACTCCAAAGTCCACACCCAAAAATCATAATCTTTGGCAAGACTTGAAAATACAGCAAGAAATTTCAATCTTTACTCTCCAAATAACCTGCAGCTGTAACAACAGCAGGTTCTACTCATTATTGTCTCAGAAGGCTGAATGCCACACTTTTCAGATTTTTATTTGTAAAATAATAATAATAAAAAAAAGAAGTTGAAAACTACATTTAGTTTTTCTCAGTTTTCACAATCATGCACCATTTTGTTTTGATCTATCACCTGAAATCCTAATAAACATACTTTAACGCCTGTGGCCGTAATGTGAAAACATGTCAGGAAAGTTAAGGGGGTTATAAATACAGCTGCTAACCAGTGTATACATCTGCAAAATGAGTTTATGAGAGCTACAGATGTTATAAGCCGAGCTGAATTTACGTATTCATTTGTTTACAGAATTACAAAAACGACCTACAGCTCTTTCATGCTTCACAGATCCATTGTGCATTTGTTTAATGACCTTCATTAAACCCTTGGTGCACACCCAAACTCCAGCTTCCAAAGAGGCATAGATAATGGTGATGAGGGGTCATTTTCTCCACAAAGACATTACACAACAGATCTCACACACTGATGCGGCCTTTTACGTCATCTTAAGCGTGTATGTGTGATTTCAGTGGTGGATCTGACTGAAGCTTAAAAATGAAGCACTTGCATTATGTTGAACATCAGCATGTCTACATTGAGCGTTCACGCGGAGGTAGAAAAAAAACTGGGGAAAAAAGAACTTTCTCTCAGTGAGACAGGCACAAAACAAACAACGGCTTGGAACGTTTCTGCAGAAGTGCCACAGTGTTCCAAGATAACTGGGGCTCTTTCCCATAAGTTATGTGTTTTTCCACTTGATGTTTTTTTTTTTTTAATTCCTGAAAATGTTTCCTGGTTGCACATTCTTGGCCTGATTAGACTATTTCCCCTTTGAGGTTAACATTGCCAAAGCAGTGGCTTTTGTTTAGTTTCCCTGCCTTTCCAAGCTTATGAGATAAGGATGAATTATTTCAGTTTGTACCTTTGCTTTTTATTGCGGAGGTAATAATTTTTGTGATCAGTACAAAACCTACCTAGCATGTTGCAGCCAAGCAGTTATCTAGCCAAATAATGTTTGGACAGATAATGGGAAATAATGTTCCCCTAACATTTGCCAGTCTTCCTCAATCTTGACGTTTAGTGCTAAAACGCAACTAGATCCTTGTGTTAAGCCTGTTAAGTCAGACCTGGGGTCTTTCTGTGGAGCCCTTTAAGCCACTCCAGATTTGATGAATGGCTCTTTACTTGATGATTACGTGCTGCAGTTGTGTTTGAAGAGATTTCTACTTAATTCCAAATCAAGATTTTCTTATATCTTTGAGAGGATATAAGGATAAAAAAAAAACAAAAAAAAACTTTTTATGATTATCAAATTTAGCCAAACTACAGGCATATATCCGGACACTATTCACAGGCTCAAATCCTGCAAAGTTATTACGCTTCATAGAATGGGTTACAGCCCATAAACTATTATACAATTTTTCCACGTTCCACCCACATAGTTCAATGTATTTTATTTGGATTTTGAGTTTGACTCAGAAAATGGCACATAATTATAATGTGGAAGGGAAGTGACTTTTTCTCTCTTTTTTTTTTGTTTTACATAAATATAATCCAAAAGTTGTAGCATTTACATTTATTCAGCCTCGCTGAGTCAATAATTTGCAGAACCTCTGTTTGCTGCAATTACAACAGGAAATTGTTTGGTTCATGTCTGCATCAGATTGAACGGAGAGCATTTGCACGCCTAAATTTTCAGTTCTTTCCATGCAGTCACTGATTTAGGGTATGGATTTTGACTGGGCCATTCTAACACATGAAGAGGTTTTGATCTAAATTGATCCATTGGAACTTGGGCTGCTTGTTTGGGGTTGTTGTTCTGCTGGAAGGGAAACCTCTGCCCCAGCTGTAGTGTAGTTAATTTTAGCTTACCACAGATCTTTCTCCAAAATTAGCCAGTATTTAACTCAATCCATCTTCCAAACAGCATCATCATATTTTTCATCCCAGTAGTTGTAAAAAACATAACTACTCCATTTTTGCGCTAATATAGAGACATTTTTTTGCATTTTTTAAAAATGATCTCACTCAGTTGGACATCTCGCAGAATCAGACAATGCTATTTCTTTTTTAACTGTGCAGTATTTTATGTTGTAAATCTGAACCTATTGTCTATTCTATTCTATTCTATTCTATTCTATTCTATTCTATTCTATTCTATTCTATCCTTGCAGCCTGAAACATTGAAGATCTTCCCGACAGACATTGCAGTTAACTTTTTGCATTTTTTTATTCCATCCGATAGCGGGTGAGTCAGTATGAGTCGCATTTTTTGTACATGATGTTATATTCCTCAGGAGTAAATGAAAAAATATTCCTTACTATGAGTTTTGTCATTCAGACTCCTCCAAAGGTAGTATTTATACTCAGAGACAAATATACTGGAGAACACACATATCCTGTAAGGAAACTGTGCAAAGCAGTCACCATCTAATTGTTCTTGTCTCTCAGTTCATCTTTGATTTTCTACGCTGGTAAGTAAAATCCTAAACTATATTGTCTTTCAATTAACAATTTTCTCTTTCTGCCATCAGGAAACCATGAGGAATGTCGCTCAGTGTTCTCCATGTTGATGGTGTGTAGCCTGTTTAGTCTGGCTTACAGTGCATATGTGACTCATCTTATAATGGGAGAAACAAAGGAATTGGCTGTTAAACACAATTCATTCTCACATAATTTTACTTAACAGCTTCGTATGTTAAAGTGTAAAGAAAAAAAAACACACAAAATAATATCTGCGCTTTTAAATTTTGCATGACTTCCTGTGTTCCTGGTAATAAACATCTTCATTGTTTCTTTATTATGTGTGTCCTTTCTTTCTAAAAATAATTATTTCCAGTGTAAATACAGATCAGGCCACTTAACTAATTTGGAGACGTTCACAATGTCATTGTCCATCTGGATGACACATTTGTCTCCAGATCTCAAATTTCAGGCTTATGTTATGAAATATTGCTTCAATATTTCCACATAATGTTCTTTCATTTTTATCATAAATCTGTGTTGCAGCAGTTTCATAGAAGGGGAAGAGTGTGTGTGTGTGTGTGTGTGTGTGTTTAAGCTGTGGCTTTTTCCCACAGATTCTGCTTTTTCTCATCTTTTGAAAATGCCTTTAAATGTTTTCTGATTAAACATTCTTGACTTGTGAAAGTATGAACATAAGTACACTCATCTTTCACAAGTATAAGGTCTTGGGAAATTTGGCAGAGCATTGAATTTTGCTTAAAATTCCTCCCTTTCCAAGCTTGCTAGATAAGGATTCGTTTTTTTCAGCTGGTACCTTTCACAATCCTGATCCAGCTCTTCAATCTTGAAGTTCTGTGTTAAAACACAACTAGATATTTGTGTTAAGCCTGTTAAATCAGACCTGTTGCCTTTCGGTCAAGACCTTTAAGGTGGAAAATCACTCTGACCTTGATGAATGGATCTTTACCTGATGATTTAGTGCTACAGTTATGTCTCAAGAGATTTCTACTTGATCCAAAATCATCCGTTTTTTCTTTATATATCAAATATTAATCTCTCTCTTTTTTCCCCATTTTTGATGTAAATCAGTTCACTGCAGTTAAATGTGGTGATGTGACATCACCACATTTAACTGAAAATGTGATGGAGTTGAGCCATTCCACGAACAATGTCATGTTAAACAGAGGCACAGCTGACATCGGGGGAAAATCAAAGAAACTTTCCTGGGGAGATTTTCTTCCCCAGATGACCTTCACAAACAAGTCTGCCATCTGGTTACAAACAGACTTGTGATCTTCACAGGTCTGTCTGCAACTTGATAAGACTTGACCACAGGACAGCAACAACACCCCCCAAAAAACAACTCAAACTGCAGTTTTGATCTGACTTAACTAAAGCACAAAGCTGCCGTTGTCTGAGGAAAAGTGCAAATGTGAAAACGCCAACCAATCAGAAGCTTACATAACATCATCACATGAGCTTTCCAAACCGCTTTAAAGGCCATCCCAGTGTCTGTAAACATCTGACTTTAAAAAACAAGACGCCAGAATATTACGGACATGTTGAGTCATTGTTTCTCTGAGGCAGCGAAAGCATGCAGCGTCTGTAATTTATGTCCTGGATTACAACACATAGCAATTTTCATGAAGCCATTTTGTGACTCATGGATGCAAGCACCACCTCAGCCACTGGAATTCCATGTTCTCTATCCTTTCTTATCTTGAAGAGTGTCCTCAGCTTAGTATAGCCTCTTATTTTTGTACTTAGTGGAATTGCATATTGAGTCCCTTGTCACTGACTGCCTCTAGAAACAAAATAATATATTGCAGAAATGCTTCTGTTGCATTCACTTCATTGGAATTTTCTTTTTTTTTTCTTTTTTTTGGAAATAAAATTTATTTTAGCTTCCCTACATGTATGCAATCTCTCTCTCTCTCTCTCTCTCTCTCTCTCTCTCTCTCTCTGTCTCTCTCTCTTTTATTTTATTTTATTTTATTTTATTATTTTTTTTACCGGATTTTAATTTTATGTTGCCGTCACTCCATGTCTCTGTTTGTGTCTGCCTGTCAGTGTGAAGGGCATCACTGACCACGCTGAGGAGGAGTCTGCTGCTGCTTGGCTTCCAGTACATCAACCTACAGTGTGTATCTGCCTGGCCACCGCCTTCTTTCGGCTCCCTCCTCTTCCTCCTCCTCCCCTCGTTCATTCTCCTCATCCACTACTGCAGCAGCAGAGCCCGGTGTCTCCTGGATGGATCCATGAAGAAAGACCCCCCCTCCACACGGCCTGTCCCCTCCCGCGCCACGATGATGGGCCCCCAGCGATTAACAGCGTCGTTGTGATGATGATATTGGGTTATTTCAGCAATCAAATATGAATCATGCATTTGATATTTCTCGCCACTTCGCTCGTCTGCGTCCTCTCGCCTTGGCTCCATCCATCACTGGCTTCATCCGGTGCGTATTGCAACAGCTCGCTGTTGTTTTAAAAAGAAAATAGATA